TGGCTGCTAGAGTCCAATAAAAAACTCTTACCGATGTGATCTCCAGGTCGGGTTCCGTGTGGAAAGAGAAGAAGGAGTGAAACGGCAGGTATGCGCTCAGAAAACCATGCAACTTTCATAACTTTGTAAAATTTTAACCCTTTCTCGTATACCGGTGTGAATGCATTTAGGAAAACTTAGAAATATAAAGGAACAGCACTAGGCATATTTAAAACTGAAAAGAAATTTAAGAAATGTATTAAGTGTTTGTTAAGATAAATAAAATTTCTCCGATAATGCCCAAGTTCCGGAGACGTAAAAAATAGCTATAATTTAGAACAATAAATTTAATTAGTTTTTTAACCTAAAAGTTTACGTAACCACTTTCTTTATACAAAACGATCTTTTCTTTAGTCAAAATGTTTTGCACAGGTGATCATTAATGGATAACTATTCATTTTATATCGTCCTTGAAATTGTGGAATCAGTTCCTGCGTTTTCAGTATCTTCATTTGCTAATCCAGCAATTCATCATCTGTTCTACGTTCACATCAAAACCTTTAAAATAGGATATATATAAAGAGCATTTACTGAAAGCGAGGCTTTTTGCACATTAGTTCTTATGAAGATGGTCAAGTGGATCATATTTAGAAATGCCTCAAAACAGCAAACCAGTCAAGTTTCTTGCAGCACTCGCCATACTGTTCGTACCAACGACAGAGTTGTGAATAGCATAGATGGCTATGACTGGCATGTGTGAGCCAGATTGATGGGCATGACTAGAGAAAAAGCCGGCAAACCGGTATCCTTTGCCAGTAATGGATGGGTTGAGAAATACCGTTAGCCATAGAAGTAAGATCAGATGTTGGGAAAGAGGTTTGGGTGCTTATGGCGAACTGCACCGTTGGATTGGGAAGGTAAAATGGCCTGGGTTCGATTGGCTGAGCGTGCTTGAGGAAACTAGAGCATTACTTCATCTAGAAAGTGTGAGTTTATCTGGTGTCGCGATCACAAATATCGCAATGGTATAAGCTACTAGGGAAAGGCTTTACCACTGCAATCTTTACGTCCAGAATATAGAAGGCGTCTTTCAGAGAGAAGGGCCGTTAAAAAAGAGAATAGTCGAGCCGAGGTTATTTGACATCCGCAATTAGTACAATTTCAGGTGTATCTAGCAGTAAATAAGAAGGAGGATGAATATTCATCATAACTATAAAACAGTTTACTCGTCGGAGTCGTTTCTTTATTCACCTAAACGTTCGAATTGCTACTGGAGACCATCGTCAGCAATAAAAAGGCAGCCCAATGATAAATGTTCAAAGGGGTGGGGGACAAGCAAACATGACTCACGCCAGTCCGGGCTCTGCATGGCGACGTTGGATCGATAAAATTGATTAGCCTCGTTCTAATAGCAGGTGCAAGCTTCAATCAATTCAAGGCTTGTTTTGCTTCTGGCCTGAACGATTATCTTTGTGGCTGCAAAGTTAAACCCGCTTCCTAGATGGGTTTAGCCACTTGTGTTAATCAGCCAGTCCGTCTCATAGCCAGCTTCTGTTCGTGTATGCATGGTACGAGCGTCCTCGCAGTCTGCCCTGTTAACCAGGACAGTTTATGCACTG